GGGCATCAGGCCTTCTGGAACTGGAATTACAGAGATGGTTGTGAACTACCATGTGGGTGCTGGGAACTGAGTCTGGGTCTTCTTCAAATTTAACAAGTGCTCTTAACTGTTAAGTTATCTCTCCAACCCTGAGCACAGGGTATTTCAAGTTTGGCCACGTTTTGTACTCATATTCCTAGTAAGGAAAGCCACTAAAGGAGCCAACGTAGTTGTGAATAACACTTTGTTCATTTGGATATTGCTAGAAGAATGGGCTTTCCCTCTCTCTTCTAGGCTCTAAGAATTATCACTGTATTTTCGTTACTCTGACCACAATATCTGATATAAACAACTGAAGAAAGGAAGTGTTTATTCTGCTCATTGTTCCCATGAATCATGATAGGAAAAGCAATGGCATCAGCTCTGTTCATGATGATGAGAGCACATTGTTCAGATTGCTCAAAATTATCCATGAGGCAGAAGGCAAAGCAGGAACTTGGAGCCAGGCTTTGTTACCTTTAAAATGTCCATCCTGAGTGATCTCCTTATACCAGCCAGGCCTCCCTAACTCAAAGTTTTATACTCCACCCAACACAAGAAAAAGCAGCACCAGTTGGAGACCAAACATTTAAACATGAGCCTTATTTTTTTCTAGTTCAATCAATTTGCCTGCAAATTTCAAGATGTCATTGTTTTTTACAGCTGAGTAATATTCAATTGTGTAAATGTACCATGTTTTCTTTATCCATTCTTTGGTTGAGGGAAATCTAGGTTGTTTCCAGGTTCTGGCCATTACTAATAATGCTGCTGTGAACATAATTGAGCAAGTGTCCTAGTGGTATGATTAAGCACCCTTTGGTTAAATGCCCAAGATTGGTATAGCTGGGTCTTGAGGTACATTGATTCCAAGTTTTCTGAAAAATCACCATACTGATCTCCAAAGTGGCTGTACAAGTTTGCACCCCCAGCAGCAATGGAGGAGTGCTCCCCTTGTTCCACATCCTCTCCAATATAAGCTATCATCAGTGTTTTTTAATCTTAGACATTTTGACAGGTGTAAGATGGTATCTCAGAGTTTTTTGGATTCACATTTCCCTGATAACTAAGGATGTTGAGCATTTCCTTAAGTATTTTCCATCATTTGAGATTCTTCTGTTGAAAATTCTGTTTGGATCCCCATTTTTTTTTATTGGATTATTTGGTATTTTTGATGTCTAGTTTCTTGAGTTCTTTATATATTTGGAAATCATCCCTCTCTCAGATGTGGGGTTAGTGAAGATCTTTTCTCATTTTGTATGTTGCTTTGTCTTATTTATCTAGTCCTTTGCCTTACAGAGGCTTTTCAGTTTCAGGAGGCTCCCTTTACTGATTGCTGCTCTTAGTGTATGTGATGCCGGTGTTATATTTAAGATGTGGTCTCCAGTGCCAGTGCAGTCAAGGCTACTTCCCACTTTCTCTTTTTATCAGATTCAGTATAACTGGATATATGTGGACTCATCCTAAGTGAGATAACCCAGACCCAGAAAGACAAAACAGTATGTACTCATTTGTAAGTGGATACTAGATGTAAAGCAAAGGATAACTAGACTACAACCCAAAGCTCCAGAGAAGCAGATAACAAGAAGGACCCTAAGAGGAATGCATGGGTTGCCCTGGGAAAGGGAAATAGATAAGATCTCCTAGGTAATTTGGGGGTGGTAGATAGTGGGAGGGAACAGAGGATAGGAACATGAAGGATCAAGAAGACCCAGCCAGGGGAGAGACAGGGGGCAAGGGGGGCAATGAAAGAGCTCTTGCTAGAGGGAGTCATTTTGGGGTTAGGGAGAAACCTGGTGCTAGGGGAATGCACAGGATGACCCCAGCTAAGACTCCTAGCAATAGTGGAGAGGATACCTGAACTGGCCTCCCCCTGTATTCAGAATGGTGACTACCCTAACTGTCATTATAGGACCTTCATCCAGTAAATGACAGAAGCAGATGCAGAGATCCACAGCCAAGCACCAGGCTGAGATCCAGGAGTCCAATTGAAGAGACGGAGGAGAGATTATATGAACAAGGGGGTCAAGATCATGACTGGAAACCCACAGAAACAGCTGGCCTGAGGTCATGAAAGTTCACAAACACTAGATCAACAGCTGGGGAGCCTGAATGGGACCTAAATGGTCCCCTGCATGTGGACAACAGTTATGTAGCTTAGTCTGTTTGAGGGGCCCCTGGCAGTGGGACCAGGATTCATCCCCTGGGCATGAGCTGTCTGTTTGGGACCAATTCCTTATGGTGGGATGCTTTGCTCAGCCTTGATGCAGCGGGGAGGGGCTTGGTCCTACCTCAATTTAATGTGTCAGGGTTAGTCAACTCCTTTCTGAGGAGTGGGTGGAGGATGGGTTGGGGGAGGTTGGGAGAGAGTGGAAAGAAAGAAGGGAGGGGGAATTGCGTTTGGTATGTAAAACAAATTTAAAAATTTAAATAAATAAAAGCAACAACAACAACAACAAAAAAAACATGAATGGGGTGAGGGGGTCTGGGTCAGTCTTATGCTGATTTCCCATTCATCAGTCTGAGGTCCATGAGCTCCCCCTTGTTTAGGTCAGCAGTTTCTCCAGCATGGTCTTGACCCCTTTGCTCATCACACCTCTCTCTCTGCAGCTGGATTCCAGGAGTTTGGCTCAGTGTTTAGCTGTGGGTATCTGCTTCTGTTTCCATCAGCTACTGGATGAAGGCTCTAGGATGGCATTTAAGGTAGTCTTCAATCTCATTATTGTGGAAGGGCATTTAAGGCAACCTCTCCACTACTGCTTAGATTGTTAGCTGGGGTCATTCTTGTAGGTCTCTGAACATTTCCCTGGTGTGAGATTTCTCTTTAAACCTATAATGCCCCCCTCTATTATGGTATCTCATTTTTTGTTTAAAAAAAAAAGAAAAGAAAACAAAAACAAAAAACAAACAAAAAACCCACGAGCCTTAAAGTAGATTCAAACCAAAATATCCCTTTCCTAGTCATTAAAGACTCCTATAATAAAAGGGATGACCATGCTAAAATTCCTAGCAATGGTGGATGCATAGTCTGAACTGGCTATCTGCTGTAATTAGATGGTAACTAACCAATTGTCATCAGAAAGCCTTCATCTAGTAACAAATAGAAACAGATCTAAGCACTGGGTTGAGCTCAGGAATCCTGTTGAAGAGAGGGAAGAAGAGTTGTATGAGCAAAGGGGCATCAAGGTCATCACAAGGGAATCCTCAGAAACAACCTGGGCTCATAGAAGTTCACAGACTCTACACTGATAGCTGGGAAGCCTGGGCCCTCTATATATGTGTGACAGTTGTCTAGTTTGACCCACTTGTGGAACTCCTAGTCATGGAGGCAGGACCTGTCCCTAATGCATTGGCTGTTTAACCCCTTAGTACAGCCAGAGGAGCTTGGTCCTACCTCAACTTGATATGTCATGCTTTGTTAACTGTCCATGGGAGGTCTGCCCCTCTTTGAATGGATGCAGAGGGGCAGAGGGTGGGGGAGGCCAAGGGGGGAGTTGGGGGAGGGAATGGGAGGAGAGGGGGAAAATGCAGTTGGGATGTAAAATAAATGAATAAATTTTGTAATAATTATCATTTTAAGAAAGCACTTAAATTCAGCTTTAAGAGTTTTCACAATTTTAAGTTTCAACACTGTTTAAATGTCAAAGTTCAAATTTTCTTCTTAGGCTCAAGGCAAACTCTGTACCTGTGGGCCTGTGTAAACTAGAGAGAGGTAAGACATATTTTTCCAGTACACAATGGCATGGAGTAAACATTTCCATTCTAAAATGAAGGAACAGGAAAATAGCAAGGAAAGGTTGGACCAACCAACACAAGACCAAAACCTGTAAGGGCAAACACTAAGTCCTGGCATCTTCCTGACTATCATCCTGGGAATGTGAATAGGATGTGAGCTCCAATAGGTTTGAACGGCCCTGTGGCCTAACTGCTTATAGTCCACACAGCCTGTTTGGTGGGTTGGCTTCACTCAGTTTCTGGAGTGTTCTTTAGCAGATGTTCTACCCTCCTGGCACCTCCAACTTTCTGATGTCTTCACTGCAACCTGGGACTCACCCTCACATCTTTGGGCAGCAACAGCATCCCAGGCTCTTCTGGCTGGGAATCTGAGCCTGTGTGCATTGTCTGGATTAGACTTCCCTTAAAGATCTTGGTGCAAGCCTCCATGACCAAGTACTTCTCAATTTTGAATGTTAAACAACAACAACAACAACAAAAAGAAAACAGTCCCATGTGGCCAACACTAAGTCACTACCAGCTGGCACAATAGCAGGACCCCCTTGAACCAAGGCTGCAGTGGGCCACTGAATGCCTAGGTGGCTGAATCTAGGGACGTTTGGCCATAGGCAAGGTTTTGTCGGCAGCAGTCTCTTTAAAGAAATATCACTGGAATGAACAAGAGTTTTATGCTGCCTGGAGCCCCTGAAGTAGCCTTGCCACTTCCTTAAATATTCTTGAAGCATGTTCCCTACTGTTTCAGTGTAAATCACCTGGATGATGTTAATCTAACATCTTCAATTTTTTTCAGTGTATAATATTTTATTTAAAAATTTTGCTTTCTCAGAGTATAATTTGTCATTAGCAATCCCCGTGGTGGGAAAACACTTTATTACCCAGCCTTTGTGGACAGATTATTTCTGCACAAGTGACTCTTATCTGAGAATGAGCCTGTCTGGAATCTGTCATATTTCAACTCACCTACAAAGGAGAACTCCCTAAAGTGAACGTCTCTAAATTCAGCTTTCTTAGACTCAGAGCCACCAACAGCTGGTGTCAACTGAACAGAGTGGAAGGTTCCAAATGGAATACTTTCCAATTTCATGCAAAGTATATGACTCACGACTGAATGAACAGTCCTCCCTCCCAGTACAAGTAGTGATGTCTCCCCTTATTCGAGCAGGAATAAGCAGAGCTCTGCTCAGGCATTGGTAGATAAAGGCAACCCGAGCTCATGAATAAAGGCAACCCGAGCTCATGAAATGTGTAGTCACACCATGAGTCTATATGGAACTCAAGACTCAGGACTAGTTGAACCTAACTTCTCACAAAGCTTTCCCTCAACAAATGAATTCTGAAAATAACCATGTAATTAGAAGAAATCTTGCCCACCAATGGACTTTTCCTTCACGCCCTCCTCACTGGGAGTTCAATGGCATCAACAGAGCAAGGCAATGAGGCATACAATCTAGGGTGTCGCATCGCAGAGGTCAGAGCTTCCACAGCATGGCAACTGCTGTGCAGATGCCCACATCGTAGTAGTTGAAGTAGCAAAGCCCAGCAAAGGTCAAAGCGGAGACGGCCAAGAGGTCTGCCTTGACAGCCTTCTGTGTTGCATCCCCATGAATGCAGTCAGTCACCACTTGTCCTAGGCCCCAGTGACCATGCAGGGTGAGGGCTGCAGCCAGGGAGTAGTCCACCACAGAGCAGGGATTCAGGTACCCAGCTGGAAGCAGGCCCAGGAGCAAAATATTGACAACCCTCTCGCTAGTCCAGTGGAGAGATGCAGCCGTGGAACCAGAAAGGTGGCTTGGTGAGAGGTGAATGTGCCGTGTGCCCTGCCATCCTGGGGTAGGCTGGTCCTGGGGAAACGCTGAGACACAAGCAGGTTTGACCACCCGGCTTCGCAGCAACAGAGCTCGGCCTCCTTGGCCACTGCGGAGGACACCCAGCTTTAAGAAAACTGCCATCTTGCTTATCAACATCTTCAATTTTTAAAAACTATTTTTCTCCTTCACATTTTATTTCCAAGTTTCACTGGAAATTTATTTAAAATAAGTAGCTACAAATACCCAGGTCATAGACCGAACTCTGTGCTGCCTTGAGATTGCCTTCACCAAAATATTTACTTTTGCATTCCGCCTCACTCAAAATATTAGAACATGCTCACAATATAGATAAATAGTTCCCAGAATGGAATGCAAATGTCCACTAGTCCTGTTACCAATAGAGCCCTTTGCACCTGAAGTCTCTTGAAACCTGGCCCTCACTGACCACATCTCTTGGTCAGCATTCTGATAGTCGGAGCTTCAATAACTGCCCATAAATCTTTGCTTATAGCCTTCTAATGGTACCCTAGTTTGCATCTCCAAACTTACAATTCTCATAAATTAGTTCTAAAGGTCTAAGAGTCACATGGTCAGGCTTGCTCACAACAATGAAAACCACTTCTTTGGTCCCAAATTTCTATATTTGTCTCTTTTGTGTCACCGTGATCATAATGCCAGACTAAAGGGACAAAGATTTGTGTGGACTGATGGTTTCAAAGAGTTTTGGTGTATCATGGCAGGAATGGCATGGAGCAACAACTTAGTTCATGGTGGTGGGAGAAAGTGCTGGAAGGCTGTTCCCATCATTACAAACCAGGACCCAGAAAATCATCCCTCTAATGGCTTCCTTCTATCAGCAAGGCCACACATCCTAAATGTTCAGTAGTCTTCCAAAATAGTGCTACTAGCAGGGTACCAAGTGTAGATGATATTTTATTTTTAAATTTTTTATTTAATAATAAAATTTAATAAAAAATAATATTTTATTTATTTTTTAAATAAGGGTATAATGGGTGCTTCTACCAGGTGACAGGAATGACAGTTTTCATGGGGAGTCTCCATGTACCTGGAAACAATTTCTGTGGAATGCTTAGCAATAGTCAAACCATTCTTATAAATCAGTGTTCACATGACCTGAGACTTGTCATTTTTCTAAAAAATTCCTTATATTTGTTTATGTGTGGATGTTTGGCTGTGAGTATGCATATATGTGCACCATGTTTGCCTTGTGCCTACAGAGGTCAGATAAGGACATTGGATCTCCTGAAAGTGGAGTTATAGATGATTGTGAGCTACCATGTGGACATTGGGAACTGAATTTAGGTTCATTGCAAGAGCAGCCAGTGATTTCAATCACTGAGCCATCTCTGCAGACTCTTGTTCATTTATTTACTAGTTTAAACCATTGTCCCAAGGAAGATTTTATATATGTATGTATGTATGTATATATCAAGAAGAGTTATACCCTAAAGGAAATCTGCACTTTATAACATCATAGAGACTCCAAATGTCAGTGTTCTATGAGTCTTGGAAAAATCTGTCATTGTTTTGGTTTGCTTGCTTGTTTCTCAGATACAGGGTTTTTCTGTGTAGCCCTGGCTGTCCTGGAACTCACTCTGTAGACCAGGCTGCCCTCGAATTCACAGATATCCACCTGCCTCTGCCTCTCAAGTGCTGGATTGAAGGTGTGCACCACCATCCTTCAGCCCCATCATTGCTTTGTATTTCTTAATCATATACAGAATTATGAACAACTTTTCAACACAACCATGAGTCTAGCATCATTGACCTGAGAACAGAAGGCAGAAATATTGTGTGAGGCTTGAGGGGGGCTGGCGTCCTCCCCATGGCCTCAACATGAGTCAGCCTCCACAGGTCCACCCTCAGAGTAACTTTCTCATGGTACAGGTAGCACCATCCTGCAAGGCCCTGCTCAGATGTCACAAAAAAAAAAAAAAAAAAAAAAAAAAAAAAAAAAAAAAACAAACACATGATGCTGTTTTTAAGCTGGTGTGTAATTCTTTCTCTGACAGTAACCTTGATGTATATGATCAATTTGAATCATCACTAAGATTTTGTTTTTCTTTCTGTGTGTATGGCTGTATTAAGGACTTTGTGTGGCTGTGACTACAATAGTGAAGAAACACCGTAGAGGAGGAGTGAGATTCATTTTGACATTTTGATGTAGAGTTTCAGAGAGTTTAAGTCCATGTCCCTGGAAGACATTGTAAGCATCCATAATTTGTAGTAGAGGCCTGTTTATGTCCCAACAAGTCCAGAGACTGAGGCAAAAAAACAGAGTTTGGGTTGGGTTTACTTCCACTAGTGAAGCCCCTCTCCCCGTGTCCAGACCCTCCCAAAATATGCACCAAAAACACACAGCTGTTGGAGAAGGTGCTTCCCACTCAAGCCTCAGCAGTGCCCCCTTTCTTGCCTGTATTTCCATCTATGGGAGTTACAGGAGCGAACTGGGCTTCTTTGTAGTGTGGGGCACTGTAAGAGAAAACAAGGATTTGAAGCATTTTATGCTCTATCGGCCCATCAAAACCTATGCATAGTGGACTTGAAACTGGAGATTACCAATTAGAAACTGGAGAGAAGTCAGAACATGACAGTAGAGACTGACACAGGCAGGAAAAAGAGGTCAAGGGGGAACTCACATTCGAGTTTGAGAGAGAACAATCAGGAGAAGCTCACTCTAGGGCATGAACATCAAGGGACAGGGAACAGCTACAGATTCAAGGAGGCATATCTCAGATGGAGAAGCCTGGAGGAGGGACTGATCTCTCTGGAGAGACTTCAGCAAGGAGAAGCTCTCTATTGTGTTCATTCCACAGCCAATGCATTCAGGAAAAGCACCATGGACCACTAAGGTAGTGGTTCTCAACCCATGGGTCAAGACCCCCTTGGGGGGGGGGGTTGAACAGTCCTTTCACAGCCACCACATACCAGATGTCCTACATATCAGATATTTACATCATGATCCATAGCAGTATCAAAATTACAATTACAAAGTAATGAAAGTAATTTTATGGTTGGAGGGTCAAGGGTTGCAGCCTTAGCAAAGTTAAGAACCACTGCATTAAGGCTAGACAGCCTAGCTGTCTCTCAGAACCCACAGACTACATCCAAACAGCCCCAGAGTCCTCACAAAAGCCACAAACAACCCTTTGACTTCCCAGCTGACAAAACAACCAAAGACTGGTAGAAGAGCCCTCTTCTTCACAGCCAAGAAATCAAGGAAACTCCTTCTTACCCACATCACTTAATTACTGTTAAGTGACATTAATAACGGCGTAATGTCAGAAGGAAGGAAGACAGGAATACTGGGCATTTCTCTTAAAGGAGGATAGCACTGTTCTACTGTCAGCAGGATGGGAAAGAACAAGAAAGACTGAGTGGGTAATAGAAGATAAGGATCTTTGGGAGGCTTTGCATGTATCATAGATAAAATGCATTATTAAAGGAGTTAAGGAACCCGTTCATTAAGTGTGACTATTACATGTGTGTCATAATCAGTGAAACCTTGTTTTGGCATTTAATTTTTGAAATTTGATTTTTTTAAAAAAGGTCACCAATGCTGTTCTGTTGCAAATACTTGGGCACAAAAACCATGTAGCACTACTAATGAGGTTTCTGGAGTTTTAAAAACAAGATAATGTCATAACATTCAGCTGCAGTGCATCTACAGTACACAGGAGAGAACTGTGGATGGAGTAGGAAAGGAAGATAAAAAGATCAAGGAAGTGTTACTGCTTGACACAGGGAGGAGCTGCTGCAGACACTGTCACCAGGGACGTTTTGACATCAGGAAGTCTAGCTCAAGAAGGGTGGAAATGCCTGTCTTCTCAGTTTGTAGATTACAACCTTATTTTCCCAAAGAAACCAGAGAGGTAAGAACTGCCTCACTGTGGATTCCTGGGAATTTCCCTAGAGCCAGGTTTCTCATTAACTGCTCCCTCTATCAAGGTATCTCTTTCCTTAGTCTCCTTCTCCGTCTTTCCCCCAACTCGATCTTCGTTATCCCTCATGCCCTCTTCTCCCTTCCTCTTCTCCCCTTCCCTTCCTCCTGAATCCCTCTCTCCTTCCCTCCACGCTCCCTATTTACTCAGGAGATCTTGCCCCTTTCCATTTCTCAGGGGGACCACGTGTGTCTCTCTTAGGGTCCTCCCTGTTTCCTAGCTTCTCTGGGGTTGGGGATTGTAGGCTGGTTATCCTTTACTCTATGTCTAATATCCACTTATGAGTGTGTACATACCATATTTGTCTTTCTGTGTCTGGGTTACCTTACTCAAGATGGTTTCTTCTAGTTCCATCCATTTGCCTGAGAATTTCAAGTCATCATTGTTTTTTGTTTGTTTTGTTGTTTTTGTGTTTTGTTTTGTCTTGTCTTGTCTTTTTTTTTTTTTTTTTTTTTTTTTTTTACTGCTGAGTAGTACTCCTTTGTGATATGTACCACATTTTTATCTTTTCTTTGGTTGAGGGGCATCTAGGTTGCTTCCAGGTTATAACTGTTACAAATAATGCTGCTATGAATATAGTTGAACAGATGTCCTTGTGGTATGAGTGTGCATCCTACAAGGAAGACCCCCAACTAAGAATCTAAGCAATAGTGGAGAGGCTATCTTAAATGCCCTAGCCCTATAATGACATTGATAACTACCTTATATGCCATCCTAGAGCCTTCACCCAGTAGCTGATGGAAGCAGAAGCAGAGATTCATTCACACTAAGCACTGCGCCATACTCCTGGAATCCAGTTGTAGAGAGGGAGGAGTGATGAGCAAAGGGATCAAGACCAGGTGGGGAAACCCACAGAAACAACTAACCTGAGCAAGTGGGAGCTCACGGACCCCTGTCTGATAGCTGGGAAACCAGCATAGGACTGAACAAGGCCTCCTGAATGTGGGTGTCAGTTGGGGGCCTGGGCAGTCTATTGGACCTCTGGCAGTGGAACCAGTATTTATCCCTAGTTCATGAATTGGCTTTTTGGAGCCCATTCCCTATGGAGGGATACTCTCTCAGCCTAGATAACCAGGGGAAGGCCCTGGTCCTGCCACAAATGATGTGACAGATTTTGATGATTCCCCATGGGAGGGCTCACCCTCCCTGAGGAGTGGATGGGGGGAAATGCTGAAGGGAGTGTAAGGATGAGAGGGAAAGGGAACTGGGAGAGGGAACTTTGGTATGTAAAATTAGATTATTTTAATTTAAATTAAAAAATACTGCCTTACTTATGACTTTATCTGTAGCATTTCCTGGACATCTTGGGCACAGTAAGTGTTCAGTTAATAATACTGAATGAAAGCTAGAGGGGGTGGGGATATAAATAGACTGTACAGCACCTGAGTAGATAGACAAAGAAATTTATAGACCTCCTTTGACCACTCACAGGCCAGGAGGGGAATCTGGTTCAAAAGGGGAAGTTCCCATTGTTGTCCCATGCCTGCCCTCAACCATTTGTCTGAAGCAGGATTGGGGCACTGCATATTGCCACTAAGAGGGCAAGCATACCGGCTCATGCATGCTCATCTGGGATGCTGTCTCTAGGACAGGGGTAACTTGCTAAGCCTACCATCTACTTGCACAACCAGGAGGAGAAGCATCCTGACAGCTGCAACTCAGAATGGTTAAAACCTATTTTAAAGGGCTGGAGAGATGGCTCAGTGGTTAAGAGCATGACGGTTCTTCCAGAGGACCCATGGTTCAAATCTCAGTGCCCACATGGCAGATCACAACTGTCTGTATTTCCTGTTCCTATTCAGGGTTCCAGAGGACCCAACTTCCATGGCAAAACATCAATGGATACAAAATAAAAAGTAAATTAAAAAGAATGTTTAAAAAAATGAAAAACCTATTAGTAAAGGGATTAAGGCTGCAATTATTAGATGTGGATATTGAAAGTATATTATATTGAAACCTTGTTTTGGCATTTGAATTTTAAAATGCCAGAACTCAAAAAAAAAGTTCACTAGAGCTGTTATGTTGCAAATACTGAGACATAAAACCATATAGCACTACTAGTGTTACCAGAGTTTGAAAAGCAAAGTCCTCTCCAGGGTGACAGAACACTGCCTTAGAAGGGTAGGCAGGAATTTAACTCCACATGTCTAAGTCTCCTGGACTCAGTAGAAACTGCAGCCACTGAGGAGAGACCTAACGTCAGCTAGCTGAGCATGGGGGGTGGGGGTTCCAGAGGCAGAACGGAGCCAGGGAGAAAACAGTCTAGGGTGGAGGATATCCAGCAGAGGAACAGCACTATGGAGGAAAGTGGAAACAAGTGTTCATTTCTGCTCAGACACCACAGAGCAGGACTCTGGTGAGGCTAATGCAGGACCTTCCTGACCCATGCTGTAAAGATTCTTAGGACTTTGCTGGGACACAACCTGTGTTTGCAAAACACCAGGGGCTGTGCCTGAGTTGCTCTTTGGCATGTTTTCCAAAAACAAAACTTTCCCACATTCCGGTTAGACTGACAGCCTACTATAAATGTATGAATTAGTTTATAGAAGACAGAAATCAGGAGAGAGTAACTTCAGATTTGTCAAAAGACACCAGTTGGCACTGTCCACTCATGGACTCTCCAAGTCTGTTCCAAACTCCCCTTACGTGATGGTTACTGGTCTCAATGACCAAGGGCAGGGGAGAGTGATTGCAATGGAGCACACATGTTTTAGCTTGTTCTATCTGACATTATTTGTGACCAGGGTCACTGGTTGGCAGAGTCTGCACTGGAGACAGACATGTTGATTTGCCTAATTTGTTCACAGAGGTAATTAATTACATAATGCCTAATTAGCTAACACTTTCACCTGTCAGAAGCAGTGGTTAATGCCAGACACAATTGGGTGGTCTTCCTCATTATCCCCTGAAGATAAATGGAGAGATATGGCACATGTAAAAGCAAATGTAGGGCAGGGTGACAGTGAGTGGGCATTAGGGTCTTGATGTTGTCAGTGACTGTTGGGAAAGAGCAGCTGTTAAACTAGCTGGCAGTGGCAAGAGATTTGAGAAGTACAAATAATTATGTTACAGGAAGGAGCCAAGGTATCAAGTTCCAAGGCAGCACCCAAGTCCAGGGTTATCCTGCCTCATTACCTTTCCTAAGATAACTTTCATAATAGTTCTTAGATAATTTGGGTAAAATTATAAGTGCCAGGTGGGCAGTGGCCATGCCAGGGCTCAGGTTACTTTGGTTATTCCCAACATGCATTTGCCTTCCAATTCATGGCTGTCTACCATGAACCAAAAGAAGCCAAAAAAGAAAAAAAAGAAAGAAAAAATTTGAGCATTTTCAAAAAATGACCTTTAGCAGAAAGTGGGGGTGACTTACACCTTAAGTTAAGATCCATGGTACTTGCTTCTTGGCTATAATGTACATTCTTCTTAAAGAGAAATCCACACACATTAGGAAATGCCACATATCTTCTATTTGGCATTTGCAAATATTTTAAGTTCTGATTTGCTTAAAACCCATTGTACTAATGTTCTTGAACCTATGATCTACACAGAAAGGGTCGCTATGAAGTAGATTTCCTCACTCCCGAATGAATGCACCAACAAACAGTGCATTCATATTTTTCTTATTTCTTCCTTTCCTCCTTTCCTCTCTCCTTCTCTCTCTCCTTCTCTTCATCCCTTCTTCTTTCTTCCTGAAGCAAGGATCACTTTATACCTGGGTATGTTGTGGAACTCTATAGATCAGCCTGACTTCAGGTTTCCAGTAATTATCCTGTCTGGGATTGCCTGCTGGGATTGCAGGCTACCAATTAATGTATTTTTTTAAAAAAAAAAAACTCTTTTTCCTGAAAATCTTAAGGTATAATTCTTTATTCTATGTGCATTGACACTCAGAGACATGGTTGGTTTAGTGGACAGTAGAATCATCTTAGTATTTAGTTAAATGAAGAGGCTCTTGGAAAGCAGTTTTGCTTAATAATCAGACCTGTATGAACTCAGAGGGCAAAGTTCCAACAAAGAGGATTTCTGAAGTTCTGACTTTGGATGTTTTCCTAACTCGTAATCACACAGAACAAAAACAAGTTGACAAGTAGTGGGGAAGGATTAGAAAATGAAATATTTGAGAACTGAAAGTTCTCACATGTACATTTTTGATGAGGTTGGCATGGATGCCAAAAGCAGGCTTGTGTTCATATACAATTGTTTCAAAGCAAGTAAGTTGGTGTCTCATGCCAGTCCTACGTTGGGACCGAGGTCAGATGTCATGGAAAGGTGCAGTGATCAGATCTGATAAGCTAACCAACCTGGTCAAAGAGAAAGGATGCCACACCTTCCAAAGGAACCTATCTTTTTGGGGGATAATGCTCTGAGAGCTTGGCTGTCATATAAAAGGCCATCCTGGGATGGTGTTTCAAAATTGATAGAGTGGTTTAAAATGCAAAAGGAAGATTTTAGAAGAAAACTTTAGAAGGAAACCTAAGTTTGAAGGGAAGGTACTCATCTAACTTGGAGCTGTGTGGCTGTGATTGGATCTGTAATTCAACAGCAGGCCCTAATAGTGCTCCCCCCCCCAATACCTATGCACCACAGAGAATGGCTTCCATTTTACCTGCTTCTAATAGATCCATGAGACTGGACAAGAATACACACGAGGGGCAAGTAATGTTGGTCTTTTCTTGTTTTGGTCAGATGAGTGTCCCTTGGTTTTATTTAAGTGCTCATGGGATATATCCTCTGAGTTTTATACATCTTTTCACATTGAATATTAAATAATTAGAATACTGTCCATGATACAAACTCACATAAAAACACTGCAAATTTTTCTTCTTTGATTCTTGTGGAGTTAGTGAGTTGGTTCATGTGAGAACACAGAGCAGAGGCTGGTGGAATGGCTTAGTGGATAACAGTCCTTGTTGAGCAAGCCTGGCTGCCTGAGTTCACTCCTAGAATCCATGCCATAGAGGAAGAAGAGAAAGGACTCCACGAAGTTGTCCTCTGACCTCCACATGTGCCTTCTGGCATGTTCACCTCCATATAATTTTATAAAAAAGTATAATAAACAATATACATAGTAATAACATGTAAAAAAGAAATGGATCAAAAGTACACACAAGAAACCATGAGAAGTTTAACCAACCCACAGGAGCAGACAAATTCAAAGTACACCCTGGAATTCACTATGTCCTGAATTCAGAATTTAATTCCAGGACCACAGGCTATACCTTACAAATAATGAAAGGGCCCTGCAGTGCCTGTGGCATTTTAACTGTGTTGAATGTGTCATGGGATAATTTCATATGCTTTGTGATAGACAGACTTGACATAGAATCGACTTCTGAAATACCATGGATGTTATTCATCTCATAGGTAGGCATAAATCTGCCCAAGCCGCCTGCAAATTAAACTCGAATTTCTGCCTCAGGTTAACAGAACATAATAGAGGATTAGTCCTCATGACGCTGAAGGAATTTTTGTAAGTTCCCTCTGATTTGCCGAGAACTGTGGGAAATGTCTTGTTGTGATGTCTGCCTACAGATAGCACTCCATTCCCAGGCTCAAACAGACCTCTCTTGCCACCTTCATTCCCTCAGGGTAGCCTACAGGAGAGAAAGATGAAGATAAAGACAAAGGAAAACAGAGACACCCCCCCCCCCCCCAGTTAGCACTTTTATTTGGTGACCACTATTTAGAGCGTGAGTTAGGAAAAAGTGAAGTTAGTCTTTAAAATGTTTTGAGGAGAAAACAGTATGTGGGAGTTTATTTAGTTAGTATTCGCTACACAGGTTTTAGAAAGAGCAAAGCATTAGAAGAGACAGCTTCATACAGGTTTGAATTTGGCATGAAGTCTCAGGCAAGCCTTTTCTCAGTTCTTTTAAAGACATTCATTTTTTGTTTTTAGTTGAAAGTGATAATTGATGTATTTATGGGTACAATGTGTTGGTGGGCCTTTGTTTGTGTGTTTGTTTGTTCAGTTGGCTTGCAGTGTCAGGGACTGAGCCCAAGGCCTTATGCCTACTGATAAGTACTCTGTCACTGTCCTATATCCTCAGCCTAGCGAGAGGTTTTGACATATATATGTGTTGTAGAAAATTCTATTGATCTAGATAATATATCCAACACTTCACCAATTCCCCATTGTTTGGTAGTAAGAATGTTCAAAATTTATTTTACAGCAATTTTGAAATCTATGTGTATTCCCTGTGGTTACCAGGCAAGAGAGTATAGATCACTAAGTTTCTTCTTTCAATGTAACTGTGTCTGTTTTCCCTTTTACCATCTCTTTCCATACCTCCCTAGTCCCTGACCTTTGATATCCACCACTTTTCTCTCTGTTTCAGTGAGATGAACAGTTTTAGAGTCCATGTAAGAGAGAGGTGGCACAGTGTTTGTCTTTCTGGGCTGGTGCTATGCTTAGCATGCTTCCATGTCACAAATGACAGGATGTTCTTCTGTATAAAAGCTGAGAGGTCAGTGAGATGCATCAGTGGGTAAATAGACACTTAACACCAAGCCTGAGTTGGGTGCCTAGTTCCCACATCATGGAAAGGGAGAAAGGACATACATATTCTGTTGTGTGTGAACATTCACACTCACACCCACAAATAAAATAATTGTAATAAAGTTTGAAGTATTCCATATAAATACATTTATAATATATAAATATTTAATTAACTATATATGCCAATGTTAGAAATAGGGCTATAATAAACATGGGAGTATGGACATCACTCTAACACACCAATCTCAGTTCTTTTGCATACACAAAAAAGTGAAACTTCTATTTCACTGTTTTGCCACCATAGTATTTTCCCAGACTAGCCATATTAATCTACACATCCACCAATAGAATACAAAGTTTCTTTTGCCTCTAGAGCTTGTCAACATCTGTTATCATGGGCTTTGATAATAATTCTAATGGGTGTGAAAAGATACTGAATTGCTTTTAATTTTCATTTGCCTAATAATTAGGCATATTGAAAAATTTAAAATATACTCGTTTGCCATTTGAGTCTTTTGAGAATTGTTGGTTGTTTTTTACTCTTTACTCATTTGACTCTTTGCTCTTTTGAGGGGTCCACCACCCAGCTCAAATTAATAAATCACACACACGAAGGCTTAGTCTTACTTATAAATGCCAAGCCTTACCTTTGTTTCTAGCCAGCTTTTCTTAACTTAAAGTATCCCTTCTATATTTTACCTCTGGGATTTTGTTTTTCTCTCTTTCTGTGTACTTTTCCTTTCCCTCTTATTCTGTGTCTAGCTGGGAGGCACGCCCTTCTTTTATGGCTCCTTGATCTTCTTCTTCCAATTTTTGTCCTTCTATTTATTCTTTCTACCTGCTATCCCTGTCTATCTTTCCCTCTGACTTGCTATTGGCCATTCAGCTCTTTATTAGACCAGTCAGGTGTTTTAGACAGGCAAAATAACACAACTTTACAGAGTTTTAAAAAAATTCAACATAAAAGAATGAAACATATCTTTGCAGCATTAAACAAATATTCCACAGCATAAACTGATGCAACACACCTTAAAATAATATTCCACAACAGAGAATGGCTGTCTAAATCTTCGAACTATGCGATTACTTCTTTGCTAATGAGTCATTAACCTCGAATAATACACTCCTGTCAGAGGTATAGTTTACAAATTCTTTCTCCCACCCCATGGGTTGTCTCTTCACCCTATGGCTGTTTCCTTTGCTACGCAGGAGGTTTTTAGTTAGGTACAATTCCATGTGTTTGTTTGCTTGCTTGCTTTTTCTTGTGGAGTGCTATATGAGTGACCACTTTCCAAACAAATGCAGTGAAGTTTTTCTCTTGACACAGCTTCAGGTGCAGCTGCTGTCTGTTGTGAGTTGACATTTGGACATGGTGCAAGATCAGGTTCGGTTTCATTCTTTTGCAGGTAGAGATGAAGTTTTCTCAACACCATTTATTGAGAACCTTTTCCTTTCTTCATTGTGTGTGCTTGGCAGCTTTGTCAAATGCCGACTGTCCATTAATAAGTGGGTCTATTTCTGGATCTACCATTTTATTTCCTTCACTGTTGTGTTATTGTCACACTGTTTTGATTGCAATCACTTGTGGGGTTTTGTTTGCTTCTTTATTTTTAGATAGTGTCCCCCTGTTTGGCACTGGCTGGTTTGAAGCCTTCTGTATGGCCTAAGCTGGCCTTGAACTTAGGATCATTCTGTCTCAGCTTTTTTAATGAGCAACCAGACAGCAGGAAAATTAAAGTGTATCTCCAAAGTGCATTAAGGACAGTGGTCCTCAGTCATCCTAATGCTGTGACCCTTTTTTTTTTACGGTTCCCCATGTTGTGGTAACACCCAACCATAAAATTGTTTCATTGCTATTTCAGAACTATAATTTTGCCACTGTTATGAATTATAATGTAAATCTGATATGCAACACATGGGGGGTCATGACCTACAAGTTGAGAACTTGTTAAGGGTCTATTACAACAAATACCATACAAGAGAATGTAATTAATGACTATGCTTGCTTGTGACTTTCTTCATAAACACAAAAAAGGTAGAGATTGGTAGTTTTAGACGCTCCAAGGCCAGGTGTCCTTTACCACCTTTACCATTTGAATCAGAAATGCTGAGAAGGGACTAAGGTCTCAGCACTCTTTAAAGTCTGTCTCAAGGACTGTGATGTCTCCACCTTTGTTATTTTAAAGACTCTAAGACACACACAGGCACAAACAACAAAAACCCAAACACCTATTAGAACTGATAAATTTGGTGAACTTGCAGGTTATACACTTAGCAAGTGAAGATTAACATTGATTACTAACAAGAAACTGCCTGGAAATCCCAACTAAACTATACTGGGAAGATCTGTATACTGAAAATCAAAATATCAACGAGATGAAACAAAAGCAAGACAACAAAAAAGACGAAAATAGGTGAATGGATATCTCATGTTTGTGGACAGGGAGACTTGTTGCTGGTGAAATGTCCATACTAGACAGAGTGGCCTACAGATTCAATATAATCCTAATCAAGATTCTAATGCACTCCTTCAGAGAAACAGAACAACCCTAAACTTTGTATGGAACCAGGAAAGATTCAAATGGCCAAAAAGCCTTCTTTGGTTGTCTTCCAAGTGCTTTTCCATGGCCCAGGAGACAAGGATCTGCCAATACCAGACTCCAGGAGGCTTTAAAATTCCCCCAGTGGTTCTGATAAGCACTTAAAGAGTCGCTGGAGATGAATGAGTGTGTTTCTTGGTGCTATGGTTTGTTGACACGGTAGGAAATCCAAAGGGAAAAATCTCATGGTCATGAAATCAGCTTTGGCAGAATGAAATAAAAAGTAAAATTGAATTTGGAAGAGAAAGTGAGTGACAGTGTTTCTTGAATTCTAATGTGCACATGAATTGGGGTTATTAACATGCAGGTTTTGAGTCAATGGTTTGCCTGAGCCAGGCTGTGATGCCCCCCACCCCAAGCTTCACTCAGCACCCTGTGCATAGGGTGGTTACAGCAGCAGGGTAGGGGAGTGGAGGAGGGAGGTCAACATGTTCCTGCCATCTTCAGCTCCTCCTAGCTGCAACAAGATTCTGATGCAGGAGCTTGTTCTGAAGTGACAGTGCAGCAACACCATGGAGTAACTTACTCTCTTTTTTTTCCAAACAAGGTATGACTCACAAACTAATTGAGAACCTGTGACTTCTAATGTCTTTAAGGAGGAAAAAACCCAATAGTATTTTGTTCCACTTTTTGAACAGTTAAATTTAGGTTAACAAATAGGATTTGTTAAGTCTTAGAGATTAAAGAAAGATGCACTAGACAGTTTGCATCAAGAAGTTCATGATCTTTCTGAGGAGACAGAAAATTAACTCCATTTTAACAGCATTAGCACAAAATAGATGCGTTAGGAACACAGCGAGGAGAAAGACATTGATTAGGGATAAAGACTGCTTAGAAAACTCCCCTGGAAGATGTGTTCAAGCTGGCCCGAAGGAATGAATAGGAGTTTGATAAGTGAATGGAAAGGGGAAAGAACAGTTTGAAAGCAAAGGCTTCCAGCAGGTGCCCTCACCATTGGCAGAACATTAGTTGGCAAAATTAAAAAAGAAACCCTTTTTGAGCAGCCAATTAATTTTGGCCCAATCATGAACGTTTTCCCCTTGGTGGTTTTTAAAGCACAGCTCGGATCAGTTTAGTTGTGTGAGGTCATCAAGCTTTGTAGAGATGGTTTAAAGTGTTTAGAGGACTGTGGGAGGATTCTTGGTAAAAGTCTTGATCCCCTATAGCGTGGGACAGATACTTTTTTTTTTTTTTTATCACTGAAGGAGTGTATTATGATAAAGTAAATGAAGGCCATAAGGAGCAGGCTTTGTAAGTATAGAGTTAGCCTGAATTAATCTCCTACCTGCAGGGGCAGCTCACTACCTTGTGTTGCATCGATTTACCAACTGAGAAAGGAAGGGCTGGTGAGCCAGCTAGTGATGGGGGTTGGGTCGGTGGCCTCAGGTAGAAAGGAAGTCATAGATTCAGCATGGTTGGTGGGTTCTCAAAGGCAAGATACTCAAATTGTTTCCATAGACCAGTGTCATGAAGATGTGTGCACACACAGGGGAAAAAAGGGGGTGAGCTGGGGGGAGGAGAGAAAGAGAGAACTAAACATGGATTTTTGAAAAAAGATCCAGGCAATTCTTTATGGTTACTTGTGTGAAATGCTGGCATATGAAAGAGGCCACAGGATTCATAAATTGTTTACCTAAGTTTATTCACACATACACCCAGAAAACTTGAGAAGGAAGCCAAGAAGTGCACAAAGATGGAGATGTGATGCTGAGAGGTGTCTCCTCATTGGAAAAAGTGGGACTGCTACGGAAGTAGACCTTGCTGCCAGGGCGGGAAGGGCAAGGGTTTTGCACAACTAGGATGGGTGCTACGTTCATGCCTTGAGTGAGACCTTGGCTCCAGAATGCGAGGGGAAATGAGGAGCTACTGGAACATACTGGGTAATGGAGTGATGGGTTGATACCAAGCAAAGCTTCTCAGCTTCCCACCATTCTTCCTTCTCCGGGGCAAGTTTTGTCTTTCCATTGCGTACCCTTTGCATGCTCTTCTGGTGCCAAGGGGAGAATGCTACTGGACATTTTCTACATTAAAGAGCCTTTCTTAAAAATAAAACATTATTTTGTTCTTCAAACCCCTTAGTTATTCCTCCTCAGGTTTCATCTTCAGCATTTCTTTTCTTAGTTACTTTTGTTTCTCCAGGCCCATACCTAGTCTTCCTTTCTTTGTCTCTGATGTACCCCAACTCACGTTCACTAGGAGCCTGTTCATCTTGCTGCATTTGCCTCACCATCCTCTGAGGTCTATTTGTCATCTAAACCTTCTAATGGAACAGGGATCATTTCCAAGTGCACTGACCACAAGCAGCAACCTCTCTGTGGTCTGACACCAATACCATCTGAGTTCAGTGGCTTCTTGCTCATTGCAAAGAATACAGACATTGATAGAATGTATCCAGAGCCAAGGAGTGCAAGCAGATGAGTCACTTTCCCATATTCCCTGGGAACAAACTCAGCCATATGACATTATTTCATGGGGGAGATGGTTAAGCCTAGCAGTGTATACCAAAGGGAAAAAAAAATTGGAGGGTCACAAACACATAGCATGTGGGGCCACACTCTGCCTTTTCTGGTTGATCTCAATAAAGCCTCAAAATATTGCAAGTGCAATGAGGAGGACTACTTATTCTATCCCTGCACATAAGGCTTTTTATAAGCTCTCTCTGTGTGTCTCTCGGTCTCTTTGCCTCTCTCTCTCTCACTCTATCTCTCTCCCCCTCTCTCTCTCTCACTTAGTCTCTCTCCCCCCATCTCTGTGGGGGATGCTGGGTTAAGTGCTTTGTGACTGCACATCCCAATGCCTTATAATTATGAAATTCAGGGCTCACAAACTTGCCAAATGACAGTTTTCACCATTCTAACTTCACAGCTGAGGGAACGGAAGGACAAAGTTAGCTTGCTTGCACAATAAGTGTATGTCCAGTTGACTTGGCATTAGAACAAATGTACTCTGAGAGCCATGTCCCTATATTATGTAGCCTCATAGTAAGAGGATGGCAATTAGAGGCATAGTGAACTGAATAGAGATGCTGGTAGATTTCCTGGTTACGTGGAAGTGCTCAACTTCTGAGAGCCTCGGTATCTTCATTTATAAGTTGGGTTATTAATGTTACTCATCTTGTAAGTGGATTCTTCTGCCTACCAGCCAGCTTCCAAATCATGACACAGAGACTTATTATTAATTATGAAAGCTCATCTGATAGCTTAGTCTTGATTCTAACTAGCTCTTATAACTTAGATTAACCCATTTCTATTATCTGCATGTTTCCATGTAACTTGTGGCATTTACCTGTCCTCTTGCATGTCCTGTTCCCTCTCTGTCTTGTCTGGCAACTCTCCTTCTTCTTCCCAGTGTGTCCTGTATGCCTGAAAAGCCTGTCTACCTATTGGCCATTCTAAACCAATCAGAGTGATGAATCTTCACAGTATACAAAAAGATTGTTCCACAACACATTTAATGGGATGGCTATAGGATTAAGTGAGTTAATGTATTTATTTCATCAGTATCTTGGTATGGTATAGTTTTTATGCTTAGTTCTAAGTGTGAGATATAGTAATTATAAAACAAATATTAGCCATAGTATACCAGATTTAATGGAGAGGTTTGTGTGCAGTCGTTGTGTTAGTGATGGTCACAGGTGTAGCCTGTTAATTCCGCCTCTGTGCTTTCTCTCCAAAAGTCTTGACATGCATGTATGTGTTTTTTCTCCAGAAAAAGTTCTGTGCATGTAAAGAATCCTTACCTGGATGCTATGGATGAAGACATTCTTTACCACTTGGATTTAGGAACCAAAACACACAACTCCCAGCAATGTTTGGGGATGTAAAGGTAAAAATATTTTGAATGTCAAGAAAATGACTGTGCTTTCTTTGCCAGTTTTTCCTTCTTATTTCCCCCAAAACAAACTTCACAACTTTGCCTAAAAACATGTCAGAGGTCCCATGAGCACAGGAATCCACTCTAATTTAGAATGACAGCATCATGAACAATCAATTTTCTACCCAACAAGACATAGAGATTTGCAAACTAAATCCAATGCAAACATGATTACTTGGCTGCTCTGTTCCCCAGAGATAAATATAATTTTATTGACAATGCTGTTGGGTGTTCAGAATTCATTATGTCTTAACAGATTCGGGTCACAACTTAACATCTACATTTATTTGCTGAACCTCGCTAATTTTGATCTTATTAAATCATGAAGAATTTAAGACTAAAAATGCTCTATTATTCTCTTCTTGAAAATGACCATTTTCCATATTTTGTACCATTAGGATTTTCACTACCTCTTAAGAAATAGTTCATGAGAAAATTGTTTATAGGATAATAATGGGAGACTCGTATTCCTATGTTACTTATTTTTATCTTATACATAAATTGTAAAAGCAATTCTTGCTCCTTATTTATAATTAGGAAAACATAGAAAATAACATTCTGCTTTTAAAAATATACCTATAGTCCTACTGCCTAGACCTGGACACCATCTGTCCACTTTCTTTTCTTCCATTTCATTTATTCATTCCTTCACCTTTTTTCTATTGGCATATATTTACTGTACATGGAAAAGACAATAAGGACACTTTCTTACAAACACATAATTTGCTTTGAGCATGTCAACTTCACACTGCCTCTTCCATTCCTTTTTAATGAAAAAGATGTAAAAATGTTTATAATGAAACTGAAGGCATAGGCTGGTGTAGCAGTGAAAGTTTGTATTCCCAGAATTTGGGAGGTTGAGTCAGGAAGATGAGAAGTTCACACTCAAGGTTATCTTTGGTTGCACAGCAAGTTCGAGGCCAGCCTGGGACAAATGAGACTCTACCTTCAAGAAAAGGCAAAACAGTTGTTATGATGTAACTTGCCACCCTACATCCTTTTGTTTAACATTACATCATTACTATTTTCCCACTTATTCAATTTTGTTGAAAATCCATTGTTCATGGGGTCAAGAGGTGTGCCATAAACTATATATACCATTTCTAACTTTTGTAGGAAGTATTTCCCATTAGAAATAGGACTCAAGTGGATGTTATTTCTTGTAAGGATTTTTCACATGTAGGTCTATTAGTTTAGAATGATTCAGAGATATGGTCGAAGAGAATGAACTCACAGAAGTTAGAAGAAGTTAAAGTTACTCCTGTCTGGCAGTGCTGGTACCAGAACAGGTTCTTCCAAGTCCAGTTCCCAGGTTCCCAGGGATTTTATTCATTGTACCAGGTGGATTCTGAGTTACAGGAAATCAGAATTCCCCAAAAATTAAATGGGGGAGGAATGTGAAAAAGAGGATAAAGAGGGTGAGTTTAGGTAGAAGAAGAAAGGAAGGCGGGAGAAGGAGGGAAGTATATCTAGGATGCCCATTGTCTGCGCTCAGCAGGCTCCTCCCTCCATCTCTGAAGGGGCATGTGAGTGTAGGTGGGTTTCCAGGCAGAGGCACAGCCTGTATTCCCACTCCTCTCCAGACTGCATCATCCTGCCCTTGTGCAGCCAGCTCCTTTCTATGCTTTATGTGTTTGATGAAACCTCTGTCACTTCTACTGAGTCTGATATTGAGGCTCCAGGAATCTTTGAACAAGTCAGCTTTGGTACTCATTAACTGGATTGCACTGAGTTCAAATGTTAGGTGTGAGGTTCATGCCTCACAGTGATTTCCCCAAGACCTTTATTTAAGGATGGCTGTTTGGAACAGAGGATTGCCATAACTAACAAATGAAAGTGCACTGTATTTAATACATTACCAGATAGATGTTTTGATACACAGTGATCGTGTGTGTGTGTGTGTGTGTGTGTGTGTGTGTGTGTGTGTTCCCGTCCCCTACCATCTATGGACTGACTCCTTCTTTGTGTATGATCCTACCCTGTCCCCACAATGAAGACTCTTCCTTCCTTTCTTCTACCTATGTGCCTGTAATCAAAGCACATGGGATGTGTAGGCAGGAGTGTCAGGAGTTGAAGTCTGGCTTTGGTTACATTAGAAACTAGATATTCCATATACAAAGGAAGATACACTAGGGCCCAATATACATGTGGTACTAAAACATACCTGTTATCTCTGTGCATTTGAGATCAGCGTGGTCCACAGAGTAAATTCCTCGACAGCCAGGGCTGTCGCACAAAGAAACCCTGTTTCAGAAAGCAAACAAACAAAAACAAAAGACACAGGTTGTATTTATCTATTTGTGGGAGGCACAACACAGCCAGCAAGTGAAAATGCTGAGTTTAAACCCAGGTTTCCCTGATGAAACAGTTTCTGGTTCTTCCAATATATTTTTTTAGCACTGCATTTGTTACTCTCCTAGATATTGTTAAATCATGGGATCAATGGCTTTGTTTTAGAGATAAGAATCACATATGTTATGTGCATAAACACATGAGTGCATATGGTCTCATCTGTTTTGGTCTCATCACCTGAACCTGGAACTTCGTGTTTCTATTTCTCTACCTGGCTGGATTGCCATCAGCACTTTTGCCACACTCTGTTTCTCAGAACTGTTTAGCTGCCCCCACCCACCAATACAGTTAGTTGGGTAACATACATGTGTGCTAACATACATGCTGCATTTCAAATGTTTTAGAGAGCAGCCCCAGGCACAGCCCCATTTTGATTTAGGATCAGAATGGAACCAGAATGTTGGGGGCAGAAGATAACATCGTCTGTCTTGTTAGATTCTGCCTCAGAAATGTACCTTCATCCAGCACTCTCTTGTCTCAGAGTAAGAACATTGTAGGTTTGATTTCTTGACTTTTAAGTCTCAGGTCAGCAATTCTGACTACAAAGCAAGGGCATAACCCACCAATCCCTAAAAATTGAACCGTACTCCAAAAAAGATGGTGATAATTATTATCAATACTAACTTCAAAGGGAGAGGAGATGGCAGGGCATACCATTTGAATATGAAAGAGCTAGGTATGGTGGTGCATGCCTTCAACCAAAGTCCATGGGAGATGTAGGAATGAGGGTTCAAGCCTAGACTTATCTATGTAGTGAGTCCAAAGCCAACCTGGATTACATGGGATCCTGTCTTAAACAAACAAATAAATGGAAAGAAAAAGAAAATCCAAATCTAAACAACTCTGACAGTCACCCTTATTCTTTCATCTCTTTCCTATATTTTGAAGGACTTTCCTACATGGTACAACATAGTCTCACTGGCGTAACAATATAAGTATAAAGCAGGTGTACCTGACTGATAACTAGACAGGTGGAGGGGAGTTAGGAGACCTGGTCCCTGGGTGTCAACCTCCATCCAGCACATGGCAAAAGTTAGGTACATTATATCCATCCTTCTTGTGGGATGGGGGCGGGGTGCATCTGTGCAGTAGGCTGGAAGTGGACCACTTCACTTCTGCTCATATTCTAATGTCTGGAACTCGGGAAATCAACATTGACTGTGAACCCAGACAGAGGAGTCTTGGCATGTAACTCGCCAGCCTCTGCCATAGTCACTGGAGATAGAAACTATTGAAAAACATGGTAGAGGTGTTAGAAAGATGCTTTTCAAGTTCAGTATCCAATATATACTTATCATGTCTTTAATAGGTATCTTGTATAAAATCACGAACTGGTACCCTCTGACTTACCCAAGCATTTTAAATTTATTTTTGAGATTATAGTTTAATTACATTTCTCCCTTTCATTCCCTCTCTCCAAACCCTCCCAATACCACCCCACTCTCCTCCAAATTCATGGTCTCCTCTTTTCATTAATTGATATTGCATGCATGTATGCATATATATGTGCATATACATTCTTAAATATTATCTGGTTCTGTCCATAGAATGTTGCTTGTCAGACTACAGCTAGGATATCTGAATCTTCTTCGAATCCCCCAAGACAGCGCCCCTTACCAGCAGGAAGTAGTTTGGAAAGAACGACGCCCAAATTCCCAAATATTGTGTATAAATGTTTGTTTTCATTTAATTGGACTTTGTTATATAAAATTAAATAAAAAATACTCTATATGCAAAAAAAAAAAAAAAAAGAATGTTGCTTGTATGCATATTTTCAGGGCTGATTATTTGGCACTGGAAAACCATTTGGTACTCTTCCCTGGGGAAAAACACCTCTCTGGCTACCAGTTTTCCTCAGTTTCCTATTGTGCCTTGTGTTTGATTAAGGCCTCATGGGCTTTTCTCCATCTACTTCTTAAGACTTCATAATATGCATTCAAAATGTTTATAGTCCTTCTTAATGCACAAGATACATAAATTGCATTTATGCTTTAAATTAATGCAACATAGCAAAATTACTTAAGCTACTGGAGATATCCAAAAGTAAACTTGTTCTGAAAATTATTAGGCAAAGTCCTGAACATACTTTTATAATGCTTCTTATTCTTGCCCAATGTATTTCTACCTTCCTGGACAAAGATCACTTTGTTTGGAACATAAATCACAGTCAATGATGCTGGAGGCCAACATTGGCTGGTGGTCTTCAGGGGGATGTTACTCCAATTAAAGCACCCAGACTGGCAATAGTGTCTTCAGGTGATATTTGGTGAGTCTGATTTAGGAGTAAGCATCAGGAACTAATCTGCTTCTGTCCATACCCATCATCTTTATGCCTCCAGAAATATGCAGAAGTTCCTGTTGATTATGGCAATATCTACAGTTCAAAGCAGAACATGGACCGCAAACTATTGTAACATCTGTTTTGGTTTTATGGTCAATCTGAATTGTTGTAATTTAGATGTACTAGTACCACACACTGATGTTATTTTCAAACTACTGTATTTTGTATATAAAATGGGGCCTCTTTGTACTTAGATTTGACTTACAGCAAGAAAGTGCTTAACTACTCATAGCAACCAAGGAGGAAAGTCAATGAATAATCAATAGTGACCGAAGCTCGCCTTAATGGCTCTAGCCTGGCTCTCTTGACCCTAGCCTTGGTGCTTGACTCACATGGTTCATTTCTAACTTAAGGCCCTGTCAGAAAAACTCCTAGGACATTCCAGAAAAGACAACAGGGACCGTAGACAGACATGCAGAGTGCCCAGACAAAAAGAGTAATTATGTCCTGTGATGGAGAATGACTGTCTGCTACCTAGGAATTATTGTTAAGTGGAAACAGGATGCTTCATGGGATCAGACCACTCACCACTTCTGTTACCTTTCACACCAGGCGTACCCACTCTACAACCTCAGGAATTCTTAAGACATCCCTGTGAAGGTCCTTGCTAGCCTTCCTTGGATCCTCTGCCAAGTGCCGCCCACATCAGTCAAGCACCACTAAATGTCAAACTTGATTCAGCTTCATTTCTATTGAATTCTGCAATAGAGAGATGTGAGCTCAAAAGGCAGGCCAGGGCAGTGTTACCTGATATAAAAAGACAGCATTTGTGATCACTGAGAAGGTGCCTGCATCCATGCATGCTCCCTTTTCATATTGAATCTCACTTCGTCCTGATTAAACCTGAGAGCACTGAAGATGATGGTTTGGGGGAATATAAAGGTTTCATGTATCACTGAGCAAGTTACTTAATCAGTGATGAGCCAGGTTTGCCTACTACATTCAAATGGTGGCTTTCCGGTATTCCTTGGCATTTGCTTTCTGGGCTTCATTCCATACACCAAACCGTATATGACACACTGCATATATCACACCTCTTATACCATACAACATACACCACACTACATATACCACACCTCTTACACCATACTATATACACCACACCATATATACCACACTACATATACCATATTTTTTACACCATGCATACACCATACCTCTTACACCACACTGTATACTCACACCACACTATGTCTCTTATACTACATTGCCCCACACCGTACCATGTGGCTTTTGTTTCTGAGCAGCTTTCTGGCCTACCATCTTCCTTCACACTTACTTTTGAACTATTTGAGGAAGGACAACAGCATCTTTCTATTCTTAACTGATTAACATGCTTCCCTCCCCAGTCATTTTCTTTCTCTGTCCTTTATCCAGCTTTAGGATCATTGAGCTTTTCATAGAGGCTACTTCTTGGTATCGTTAGAATTTAACATGAGTAAGATTGCTAAGACGCTTCAAATGCCCTTCCACGGAGCTTTTGTGACATGCTCGCCTCTCTTTAGAGCCCCATAGCTCTTTTGGACACAGTCTGTCTAAAGATGAATTGAAAGCAGAAGGCAGTTCCCATCAGCAACAAACATTCAGAAGGGTGTCTGTATACAGTCACCCGCTCTGCCTGTCTCAGCCCTCCATACATGGCTGTGTTCTGAAGCAAGCCTCCAAGTCTGTCCTGTATTTGGATATGGTAGTCTGCTTAAGGGGCACAAGCTGGGGACAGTAAGATGTGGCAACTCTGAAGACCTCAATTGTAAATGCTCTCTATCTCAGGAGACAGTCATGATTCATTAATCCCTGAAATTACTCAGATTACTCAGTGGTGGAATATAATGTGAGCTGGGAACATTGGGTAACAAAAGAAAACATATATAATACCACTGTGGTGGTGAAGTTGGTCTTCCCTCTAGGACAGGAGTGCTGAAACCTGCTTTGGCTTCTAATGGCAGAATCAATTCATTTATTAATTTGTTCATTCCATAAAAAATTATAGACTATTTGAAACTAAGTATTCCCTGATATTGTCTTATTAATTTTTCAGTTAAAGTCATCTGAATTAAAATTATTTGTTCTATTTTTCACAGTAAATGAAGAAAGAAAAAAGTAAAATTTACCTAAAAAGTGAAACTATTCTAAATAATTAGAAAACCTTCCTCTTAAGGCAGAGCCAGAGGTAACCTGGTGTTCTATCAGGGAACATGGCCCAAATGGTTAAGGCTAGCCACTTAGAATACTAGGTAGGCATGGGGTTCCCAGTAGAGACCTTTTGCAAATCTTCAGTAGCTGCTACAGGAGAGAGAGAGAGAGAGAGAGAGAGAGAGAGAGAGAGAGAGAGAGAGAGAGAGAGAGAGAGAATCTTAAGAGAAATGAGAATCTATTTATAATTTTGTCATCATACTAAAAAGTAAGTGCTGATCCTATGATCCTAAAGTTAACAAATGGCTGATTTAGAAGAAACCTAGGAAATGAAATATAGTTCATCCTCTAATTTATAGTTGAAGTTTGTTTATTAATTCATTGTAGAGCCGGCGCCAAGGCCCCAAACTTGTTAATCTTGAACACACAAATCAATAAAGATTTGATTCCTGGATTCAGGAGGTTTACAAAGTTTTCAGAAATCAGGGCTTATTGAGTGGGGGAGAAATGGTGACCCCAGAGGCCCCTCAGTTTCCACAGTTTAATATTCTTGATAATGAGAAGGGGAGGGAGCTCAGGTTCACATCATGACCAGAGCTCTAGTGATTTCCCAAAGTCTCTGTGGCCATGGATCAATATCCTTCCACCATGTTAGAAGTGAGGTAGCCACTACTAAAACTCAGCTCTAGTTTCTACAAGTTACAGCATGGAAGATCTTTCTGAAGCTTTGTCAGACGTAGCAGAAACAGCAGAAATGGCTACATCCTCTAGCCTGTGTTGATTGACCCCCAGACTTGTGACTGTGATTGTTTTGACATAAATGCTGAATTAAACCAGACTGTGGCCACGATCTATGGCGATTCACATATTCAGCATAAGTTTCAAACTCCTGAGTGGGACCTGAAGCCACATTTCTCCCTTAGAGTCCTTCTGAACTCACATGGAATTAACAGTAAACAATTGAGGCTGCATTTGAACAGCAAAGTACACCTCTCTTTCACTCACTAGGGGGAGTTGGACTGCTGAAATGACAGCCAAAATTATGTTTCCTCGGTTGCGTGCCAATTGTGTATGGGGAAAGGCATCCTCCTCACGTAAGTTCATTGAAAAGAGCCTCACAGGGAGACGAGAGCTGACATGGCCCTGGTACACCTGCACTCTGCTATCCCACTTCTGTTCTTGCCAGTGAGGGGTTCAGTTTAACTGGCAGTAGGATGCCTCTCTCTAGTCCTCACAGATGGACACATCCATCAGCATGCCATGCAAGTATCACTTAGAGATGACTTATGTTTTCTTAAGCATGGGCACAGTCTTAATGATTATGTAAATTTATACAAGGTCTGTTAACTTGTAAAGAAGAAAAAATACGTCCTGTTCACTTATGCGTGTGTGAGATGTGTAATGACTCTCTCCTCTGTCAACAGCATGGGATGGGCATCCCTTCCATTTCTATTATGCTCCACGAACTCATCAAATTACCACGCACGCTGCTGTGATGTTACCATCATCAGAATCGGAACATCAGGGGGAATTGGTGAGATGGATTGTTTTCTACCATTAAAGCTGAGTGATTCTTCATACATCCTGGTGTTAATTCACAGCACACCAACATATAGTATATAGAGCCCAACAGAATCCAGATGGGCTGCAAAGTACTGCTAGGCAGGACTTAAGGATTCAACTCCCCCCATCTATGTCTCTTTGTCTCTGTCTCTCTCCTGTGTGTGTGTGTGTGAGAGAGAGAGAGAGAGAGATTCCACTTTTTCTCGTATAAAGAAGAGAAGAATTATTAGAAAGTATGATTTTATGGTATGTTCTAGCTTGTTTCTTTGTTCCTATGATAAAAGCCTTTGACCAAAATCAACATGGGCAGGACAGGGCTTATATGGCCTACAGTTCACAGTCCATCACTGAGGAAATCCAAGGCAGGAACCTGGAGGCATAAACTGAAGCCAAGGCCATGGCAGAATGATAATGGGCCATTCTTAAAGAGGCTATTCCTCAGTTGAGGTTCCCTCTTCCCAGGTGACTTTAGTTTGAATCAAGATGACAAAAACTTATCAGCACATGGTAAGAGCAGATTTTGAGCCTGAGAAATTTTATGTGATAGGAATGAGGGTGTTCAGGTTAAGAAATTTGCCTGTATCCACTAAGTATCAGACCTTATAGCACCTAAGAAAATGTTGCTTTTGGCTCTTAGTGGTTACCACTAATCTTTTCTTCTTTGTGGCTTTTACTCAACTGCATAGCAAAGAGGACTATGTGGGGTTTTAGGGAAGGTCTGGCACTACCTAAGTTCATCCAAGAGCCTCCTGCCTCACTTCCATCATCCCTTAAGGATTAGATCTTGTCAGGCTGTCATTTTACCATGACAGTACATGCAAATGCAGACACACTTCTAAGTGGAAAAGTTTGGTTGACAGAGTGACAGGACTACATGGTTACACAATAGGGAGTAAGCTTTTAAAAGACAAATCCCTTAGCATTGCTCAAGTAACAATTTTGGAATGAGAGGAGATCTCAAAAATCCTCTAAGGACACATGCCACCTCCCCTAGTCCTTTGAGGATTATCTGCCTTGGGTTAGCCTGTGGGTATATCTGTTTGGAGAATGTCCTGATTAAATTCATTGATGTGGTATGACCACAGGCAGGGGGGACCTGAATTGTGTAAGAGTAGAGAGTTGAGCGAGAGCAAGCAAGTACATGTACATTCAATTTTTTCTCTGTTCTTGACTGTGGATGAGACTGGCTGCTTCCACTTCCTCCCATAATTTCCCTATAATGATGTATTATAATCTGCAATTGTAAACCCCATAAACACGGTCTCCCTTCTTTTGTCTGGGTGTTTTATTACAACAACAGAAATTAAACTAGAACAGCCACCTTGGGTATCTAGCTAGAAATTTAAAGTGTTCTATAGTTAACTCTAGTTTGGCATATTGACATTTATACTAAACAGAATGAGTCTGTACTCCATATCCAGGGTTGTTACAACATTTTCTGTAAAGTTCCAGATAATAAAAGTTCTGGGGTTTGCAAACTGTGCACTTTCTGTTGCTAGTTCTTAATGCCACATCATAGCTCAGACACAACAAGGACAGTATGTAAATAATGTGTGATCATGTTACAACAAAGCTTATTTACCAAGACAGGTGGTGTGTGGATCAGAGTTTGCAGACTTGCGTGGTACGGCATCTTTACAAAACCATGTACTCACTGACCATATTTCTACTGAATCCTCATGATGAGATAGGCATAGCACCAGTCCTGGAGAGAGATTAGCTGACACTGTTCTTAAACTGATACAGCTTGCATTCCATTAGAGGACTAGACAAACAAGTGACTGTAAAAAGTGTGATGAGTGTTCAGAGACCGACTGCCCAGAGTACCATCTAGATACACCTTCTTCCTTGGTTTGCCGTAGAAATTAGGGTAAATCAAAAGGTGGACCCTGGAACACCCCAGGATCCTCACTGTAACCTATATATTACCTTTTACTTATTTATGCTTATTTCATTGGGTCTCCCTCTATGGTTCAGACTTTTAGAAGGGAGCAACTCCAGATGACAGCAGAGGAATGCTGGCAGCAGCAAAATGGAAGGGAGTCAGGAGAACAAGAACCCATCCAGGCAGGGAGAGGAAGAGTTGACAGAAAAATGGCATCTCAGTGGACCCAGGCCCCTTGAGCAAGCCAGACTTTGTAGCAATGGAAGGTCAGCTAAGAGACCTAATTTGCATGGAGTCAGGGAAAGAAAGGAGAGTATGTGATGAGAATCTGAAGGGAGAGAGGAGAGAGCTGCCAAGAAATTATAGTAATCGAGGAGTCTGCAGGAAGATTAAATATCAAGTAGTCACATCTCTTTATGAAAGCTGCTTGCTGGCAGGCTTGTTTAGTTTATTCCTGACCTAATTTATTCAAATTTGAGCCTGAAGGCTGGCACTAATTTGCATGTCCAAGAGTCATGTTTGTCTTGAAATCTAAACCCCACCACATTGTAAATATGAATCTGGACAGACAGCCAATGAAAATGCCTGTTCTAAAGGTTATTTTATTGCACTCGGAAAAAAATATTCTTAAAGATGAAAGCAGGGGAATCATTAACAAACAGTATTAATTAATGTTGACAGAATAGTCTACATACTACATGTCATAGAAGTCAACTCTGAACAATCTTCTGGGATCAATTATTTATTCCATATTGCAGGAATTGCCCCAGGCTCTGTTGTAATAACAGATACAGCTGTAGACTCCTTCAAGCCTCGGTTTGAGCAGGTCATCTTGGACAATGTGGTCACCCGAAGCACTGAACTTGACAAGGAACTGGCTACTGATTTGCTCAACTGTAGCAGAGAAACTCCTAACTTCCCAACCCTCATCAGACACACGATGAGTACCTATGATTTTTATGAAGGTGAGAATCCTTTACATACCACGAAGGCAGTAGAAAAACACCAGCAGTTTGTTATACAAACCCACAATTTATATTAAAATTGCATACCAGCAAATTAATAGTGCGGATTTTCAAGGGGAAGCAAATAGCCTTTTTACTCACTAAAGCATAGCAACATGAGGGTTTAATAAGCAGCTGAGAAACACACAGAATGAGTTGATATTGAGAATGGGTTTAATCCTCTATCAGTTTGAATACTAAAATGCAATTAGTGGTATTGACAGCATCTTCTCTCTGCTCGTGACTTTTGCTTAGATTGCTGACTCTAAGACAGAGGAATGTGCTGGTTTCTGTCATTCATCCCAACCCCAGGCAAGAAGTAAGACCAGGAAATTCGGAGAAGAGTTCAATTAAACAGATCCTGTAGGGAGCTGACATTCTCTGGGCGGAGCCTTTATCCCACATCCAAGAGTACATGATCTTCACACCTAGTGTAGAATTAAGTTGAAGGTCATTGCCATATAGCTGTGCTTGTTCCAAGGGATGAGGGGCAAAGGCAAAAGAAAAACAAGATAAAGCAAGCCCCAAGGACAGACTCTGTTCATTACAGAAGAATCTACACTGCCTTGATATTGGGCCTTCAGAAAACCTTACACTGTAGTTGTGTTCATAGAATAATCATAATCTTATTATTTTACTAGTAATTTCTTTTACTTTTTTCTAGATCAAAGTTTATGTAGTACTTTAAGAATCTAAAAGCTACACATGGAGATAGGTTGCATTCTGTTTGCATGTGTTTGAGGTATTGGCACAATAGGCAGGGGAGTAGGTGGAGAGATTGAGACTGTTCTAGGTTGTTTACTCTTAGGCCCTTCATTTACAGGGTCACCCACCCATGCATTTGAGTCACAGCTCATAAACAGAAGCCTGGCAGAGTCAGTGATTCCATCGGCCCATGAGATACTGTTTCAAATGTGAATTATTTTGCCAACATTTGCAATTTCTAAACTTTTTATATGAGGATTCGGAGTTTTAGCTGCTTGACATGACAAAGTATCATTAAAAGGTAAAAATTCTGGGTGAAGACAGCATCTTCAACAAATGGTGCTGGCACAATTGGATGAGGGTGTGTAGAAGACTGCAGATAGACCCATGTCTGTAGCCATGCACAAAACTCAAGTCCAAATGGATCAAAGACCTCAACATCAATCCAGCCACATTGAACCTCTTAGAAGAGAAAGAAGGAGGTACCCTTGAACAAATTGGTATAGGAGACCGCTTCCTGAACATAACTCCAGGGCCACAGACACTGAGAGAAACAATTAATAAATGGGACCTCTTCAAACGTAGAAGCTTCTGTAAGACAAAGGACACAGTGGACAAGACCAAACGGCAGCCCAAAGACTGGGAAAAGATTTTCACCAATCCTATATCCGACAAAGGGCTGATCTCCAAAATATACAAAGAACTCATGAAACTAGTCAACAAAACACCAAATAACCCTATGAAAAAATGGGGTACAGAACTGAAGAAAGAATTCTCAATAGAGGAAATCAAAAAGGCTGAAAGACACTTAAGAAAATGCTCCACATCCTTAGCTATCAGGGAAATGCAAGTCAAAACAACTTTGAGATACCATCTTACTCCTGCCAGAATGGCTAAAACTAGAAACACCAATGATGACTCATGTTGGAGAGAATGTGGAGAAAAGGGAACACTCCTCCACTGCTGGTGGGAGTGCAAACTCATACAGCCATTTTGGAGATCAGTATGGCGGTTCCTCAGGAAAATGGGAATTAGTTTACCACAGGACCCGGCAATCCCCCTCTTAGGCATATACCCAAAGGATTCACATCCATTCAACAAAGACATCTGTTCAACTATGTTCATAGTAGCACTATTTGTGCTGGAAGCAACCTAGATGCCCCTCAATTGAAGAATGGTTAATGAAGATGTGGCACATCTACACAATGGAATACTACTCTGCAGAAAAAAATAATGGTATCTTGAAATTCGCAGGCTAGTGGATGGCACTTGAAGAAACCATCCTGAATGAGGTAACCCAATCACAAAAAGAGGAACACAGTATGTACTCACTCATATATGGATTTTAGACCTAGATCAAAGGATCACCAGCCTATAATTCACACCACCAGAGGAACTAGGATACAAGGTGTATTCTAAGAGATTCATATAAAGTCCCTCACAGAACCGGGAAGGGACAAGTCCCCCAGAGCTCAGGGGAAGTGGGGGGGGGTGAATGGAGAGAGAAGTAGGAGAAAATGAGGGGGAGGAAAGGAAAACATGTGCGACCAGGAAGATTTAGCCTGGTTAGGAATAGAAGACAGGAAAGAGAGAGAGAGAGAGAGAGAGAGAGAGAGAGAGAGAGAGAGAGAGAGAGAACATAAAAGAGGGAGCCAATATTGGTTTTAAGATAAAATTGAACACAAAGAAAGGTCTAGAGAACTACAAGACTGCTGCCAACTAACAATTTGAGCTTCCGTGGAAAGGCTACCATAAATGCCCTTCCCGGAAAGTGAGATTAACAACTAACTTATCCATGGAGCCCTCAACTAATGCCTGTTGGAAACAGAAGCAAACACCCATACATAAACACTGAGTCGAAGTAGAACCCAGATGCAGATGGAGAGGACAAGAGCAGGTGGTAGAAACACATAGAGACAGCTTACCTGAACAAGGAGGAGCTAATGGGCCACCAGACTGATAGCTGGGAAGCCAGCATGGGCCTGACTCAGGCCCCCATGAATATGGGTCTCAGCCAGAAGGACTGAGCAGTCTAAGGGACCTTAGACAGTGGAGCCAGGATGTATCACTGGTGCACAAAAGGACTTTGTGAACACATCCCCCATGGAGGGATAACTGCCTTAATCTAGAGACAGGAGAGAAGCCCTAGTCCCTACTTCACATGACCTGTCAGATCTACATGACCCCAACTGGATGGCATTTTCCTACATATGGAATTGGGGTGGGGGGATGGGAGGGAGGGTGGTTAGAGTGCATGTGAGAGGGCAGAGAGGATAAAAGGGAGGGAAGGAGGGAGAGGGAACTGGGATCAACATGTAAAACAATAAATTAAATTTAAAAACAAAAATGCTTTGACTCCAAAATTTAAGTTGAAGGACAAGTTACTGGGGAAAAGAATTTCTATTTTTGTTTCCACAGAAAATGAAAAGATGTGGATTCCTTCCAGACTAATGGAATTTGATCAAGCCAGACCACCTGAAACAGAGTACCAGGTGATCCTATATTCAAAACAGCTGGACAAAGCAGCCTGACAGACTACAGCCAGGATTTCGGAATCTTCTTTGAATCCCCCACGACAGCGCCCCTTACCAGCAGGAAGTAGTTTGGAAAGAACGACGCCCAAATTCCCAAATATTGTCTATAAATGTTTGTTTTCATTTAAATGGACTTGGTTATATAAAATAAATTTTAAAAAAAAAGGTAAAAATTTGAATCATCAATGCTACCTCATCAGTGACCACCGGACCTCTGCCCACATGTGGAGGGACAGGACTTTGATAATAAAATCCTTAAATTCACAAATGAAAACAAAAAAAGAAAGAAAGAAAGAAAGGAAGAAAGGAAGAAAGAAAAATGCCATAATGCCGTATACATAACAGCTCTGGAAATCACATCTGGGGCTACTTATGGTAGGTGAAGTGAGGCAATACAGATCTGTCTAGGCTGACCCCCGTCTTCACATTAACCACGGCTTCTGGGCCATGTGGGTTTGACTCAACCTAAATAATGCTGTTAATGTTAGAAGTGTTGGCTGGCAGCACCAAGGAGGAGAGATGGAACGGGGAAAGGTTGACTGCCAGGACAGAGGCCACAGAGAACAGGGGCCAAGGAAGGGAAAGGCTACAGGAAGGACTGTGCAAGTAATGGATGGCAACTGACTTCCATCTGGGTACTGCTGGGTAGGAAAAGTTGAGATGCATGCATGGCAGGGGTGGGGGTATGAGGAGGTAACATCAGACTGTTCTCTACCTCCTTCTGGCACCACTGACCCACCTGGTCAAATTAAATAAACCAGAAATACCAGGACAATCTGGAAGGGAAAACTTGAGTGAAGGGTTAACATGAAGCCTGACAGGTGTGTAAGGGACAAAGGACATACCAGTTGCCTATGTCTGGCCATGTGGTCCTATCGAGCATGGCAGTGTCCAAACCATTTGCCTCAGGAGTGTCACTGAAGTATGAAGCCCCTCCCCCCCAGTCTCCACCTGGTCTGTCCTACCTGTTCCCATGGCAACCCAAGTTTCTCCTCAAAGGACAACTTCATCTGTGATGCCCCTCACCCTTCTTCCTGAGTTCCCCACTCTCATTTCGAACTAGGGCACTCCTTCCTGTGCAGACATTCCACCCTTTGTATGAGATTTGAGCCAGGTGCAGCCATGCTCTACAGCCCTTTGGAAGAAAGATTCAGCAGCCAGGTTAATTCCCAAGAGGAGGGTCACTCAAGAAGTAGGGACATGCACAGCACAGCATCTCTGGGCGGTCTTCTGATGATGCCACTGCCGCGGAGGTGAGACACCAGCCACTAAATCACTCCATCCTCTTTCAGGCCAGGGCCGCCTAGATGGAGCGCTATGTTCCTTTTCGAGAGAAAAAAAAGCTAGACTACTTGAAGAGAGCATACAAAGCTGGAATCAGGAACATAGAGATGGTGTTGACAGTGGTTTGCTGCCATGTGTGGACTCTGTGGTCTGAGAGGTAAAATTCTTGTGATTGCCAAGGGCACCTCCTCCCCTTTCCCAAAGGCATCTTATGTTCAGTCTTCAGGAGAGGGAAAGGGGGGGGGCAGATAAACTTTGTTTTGTGTTGAATGCATGACTTAAATTTATTCATAGTGTTTTGTGAACAGGTGGGACATTGTGGATATGAGGAAACAGCTCAAGGATCAAAAGGTCACTTGCAGGTTGATGATGTAGATGGGACACAACTGCAAGTTCATTGTTCTCTGTCTTGGTAGGGGCTGCTATTTTCTACCACAATCGAATTTGTTGAGACAGGATGCAAATGAGAGACTCCTAAAATAGCCACTCAGTCATAATTTTAATTAGTGTGGTCAGGAAAAGGTAGAATGAGAAGGTGCCATTTGGGAAAGGCCACATGGGAACCTGGGAAGCACATTCTGGGAAATGTAAGTGTGAAGCTAAATATATCAGGAGCGCACAGGTGTGGTGGAGAAACAGGAGGAGGCACGTGCTGGGAGGAATGATGAGAGGTGGGAGGTGTGGAGAGGGGCAGGTTGTGTGAAGCACTGTTGAAACTTCCACTTTCTGTCTGGAAACAGGGAGGCACCAGAGAGCTCTGGGTTGAAAGTTTCAATAGACTTTCTCTGGATTCTGAGTTGGAAGAAGCTAAGGGGGCCATAGCAGAATCGAGAAGAGGAATAAGAAAGGCCAGGGCAGCTTCTAGCAAAGCATGGAGGGCCAAGGTAGTGTGATTTGGTCAGGCTCTGCATGAGTTCAAAAGAGAAACCCAGCAAGAACTGCTGACTATTCAGCAAGTTTATGAGAGAGGGGGGCCCTGAGGATACCCGGAAGATTTGGTGACAGTGACATGCAAATGGAGGTCAGGTAAGCAGGTGAACTTTTGGCTCAGGCTCAGATGGAGGGTTTGGATTATAAGACTAACCTTGTATGTTGATGGTATGAAGATAACATTGAAAGTGAGTGCAGTAGATGGGATGGGATGAGCATAGACAGAGATAGCATGAGACCAAAGTTAAAAGTTAGGGAAGATTCCAAAGAGGTGTGCTCAGTGATGTTGGCAGAATACCATGAGAGTATTCTCTAGTGCCCAGAGGAGGAAAAACACTTTAAAAAAGAACCTTGAATTCTAACATTTGTCCTTGTAGCCAATAAATGTTAGTATGTTATAAACACTGCACATGTGGGAACATTTCTGAGAATGGACTTCAGAATAAAGAGATTCCATAAGGAGATTAATTGAGAGACGCTCTCCTTATCTACTCTTACCTCGGGATATAAGTACACAACAATTCCTGTACTACACTGGTGAACAACTACAAGTTCTTCCTCATGCTATTTAATTGCTCCACTTTCATGTGTACGTAGGTGATGTGCATGTATGGATGCATGTTAGCATGTGTGTGGGCATGCTCCAACCCAAGAGGCAGACAATGACAAATTAGGAAAACACCTAGGAGGGAATGAAAAACAAGGGATACAAAAAAGGACAGCAAAACAGTATTCTGATCAAACTGACAAATTTTATTTTCTCAGGGGAGGCTTATATAGGACTGTAGACAGGATATGAGCAGGGTTTGCACATAGGCAGGATGAAAGGGTCAGTAGAAAGAATGCCCTGAACTAATCTTTAACTGGCTAGAAAACTATAGCAGAAGGAATATCCTGAGCTCTTCTTTAACTGGCTGTAAAACCACAAACCTGTATCTAGGAATGCTCTGCTGAACTTTCTGCTTACTTAAGAGGCAGTAATTTTCTATCTTGGAGGCCTAAGGTAATGAGGATGGTGATGGTCCCCAACATGGGCACATGTGTATGAGTGTGCATGTCATGTGGGAGCCAGAGATCAGGAATCATCCTAAGTTGCCGCTCTACTTCAGTCAAACCCTGAGCTCACTGACGTGACTAGTTCTGTTGACCAGATTGCTCCAGGGAAAACATTTTCTCTGCTCTCTGAAGCTACAATTGCAAGCAGGTCTCCACATTTCCAGGCATTTAGTTAGGTTTGCACAGCAAGCACTTTAACCAGAGCCACCTTCCCAGACTCCACCCCACCCTATGTACAAGTTCATCTCAAATGCTTACTTTCAGGGAAACCATAGCATCTGCTTTCCCCTAAGCAAGTTAGCAAGAGTGAGTCAGCGTGACCTCACTTGAGCAGCAAACTGAAGATCTCTGCTCCAGGAAAGGCCTTCAGGGTTTCTTTATTATTGAAACAAGTGTCCACTTAACTCATATCTCTGCAAACATATAAATGAGCAGATTTTGGGTACCCAATATAGTCAAGTTAAAATGCTGAGCCAACAGGCTGCCAGGTATCAGTGTGGTGAAGACCATGAGTTCATTTTGTAAATGGCATCTGTTAGCCCGCAGAGAACCCTGGAGTCTTGTGAATCCTGGGTATCTGTCTTTGTCTTTTGGGAAGCCTGCAGAGACCCAAGGGAAGTTCCTCTTTCAGGAGAGCTCTTTGTCCTTGCTGGGGATCCATGACCTTGCTCTCACCTCCACCTTCATAACTTGCCTTCCTCTATCTGTCTGCATCATTCCATTCTCTCTGAAGCTGCTGCTGGCTTCTCGTTTCAACGTCCCTGCAGGCCTCCCTCTTCCTAGCCACTGCTGCAGTCTCCTTTTCATCACGCAGACCTCTTTCGGCTGCCAACACACTCCATCCGCAGCTCTGCAGCTCTTCAACTCTGTAGTTCATCCAAGTATCACTTTCCAAATTTCTTCACAGACACGGGCTGCTTTTTCTCCCCCAAGACCATTGTTTTTAAGAGTGGATCTCTGGTATGTTGGCTGTGGAAAATCAACCATCAAGGGCCAAACAAAGGACCCATGCCCGGGTTGCTATCATGTCCCCATGTTTCATTGTCACTTCATAACATTTTCTCCCTCACCCCTTCCTTTCCTGTGGTAAAGCTTGAAAACTGCCACACAGCCCTTTTTTTATTTAGCCCATTTACTAACCCACTCTGAGCCAGGAAAGCCTTGGGGGAAGGGCCAAGGGTGCATTCACACATTGCTGCTCTAGCAGAAAATGAGGAAGGACATGGATGGCATGGAGGAAGGGGCATGGAGAAGTCTCACCTGATCCCAGAGTTCAGGACCCTTGGGCTTTAGGCTCTCAAGACACTGATTCCCCTCCACAGCTACTACAGGCCCATCCCACCCTACTCTCCTGGCTGCCTTCTCTGTCTTTTTACATGGCCCTTTCTGTCTTTTTATGTGACAAGAACCAACATGAATTCACAGCCTTATGAGAACCAATGAGTGTTTTTGCCTTCGGATAACACCGTGCATTAACATGGCTCTTTTAGGAAGCACAGTTCTAACTCAGAGGACTGTCGCAGAATCTGTCTGGCCCAGGGAGGGCTTGTGTCCATGTAGCTCCCCACTAATCTTCACAATTAACGTGAGACTTGACCTCTCAGGAGACCATTGTATGAGTACCCAACCCAATCGCTCATATTTGTATCACTTACTCTGCTTCTCGGTTGCATATTCAACAGCATTAGCTATATTTCTGGTTTGTTTCTATATTAACTTATGCATTGCTTTAGATTAATGCATGTTCTTGCTTGCTTTTTTGTTGCTGTGATACACATTCTAGTGAAAAGCAAATTGGGGAGGGAAGGTTTATTTGCTTTACACTTCCAAATCACAACTTGTCATTGAGGGAAGTCAGGCCCTATGGCTTGCTCGGCCTACTTTCTTATATAACCCAGGTCCACCTGCTTATGGATGGGACTGCCCACAGTGAGCTGGGTCCTCCCACATCAACAATCAAGAGAATACCCCACAAGCATACCATAGGCCAGTGTGATGGAGATGACTCAGCAGAGGGTCCCTCTTCCCAGCTGCCTTGTTTGTTTCAAGTGACAAAAACAAATCAGCACAGTATAAAGGTGACATTCCTTCTCTCTCTATTGTGAAATAGCACCAGAAGAACAGGGACTTTGTCATTGCTCCCTGCCCAACACCTAGAATAATGCCTGCCATATGGGAACTCAATAAATATTTGCTGAGTGAATGAATATAAAAAATGACGATGAGACTCTACTTGACCCTGGAAAATGGCCATAGAAAACCAGATTCTCCATTCTCGGGTCACATTAGTGGTGCAGAATCATTTGAAGGATGGGAGCCAAGATTTCCCTCTGCTGTTAGATTTATGCAAACCTGCAGTCTTGGAGTTGGTTGTTATTTGTAGGTGGACAAACTGCCTGGAATAAGGCCACCGACACCCATCTGTCACTGCCACTCTTTTGCTCATTGTCCTAGACAAATGTAATAGGGATCCAGTGCCACCTTAACAAAGATCAGGGTATACAGATAGTGGATTTCAAATCTCCCAGCATCGGCAAGCTGTATCCTTCAGAATAATGCAGAATGGGATAACAGGAAAGCAACATAATGCTGAATAGATGCATGTATGACATATATGTCCCTCTCTTAAAATAAGATTTACTTCTGATTAAAGATGATAACCCTCTTGGGCTGCAAACTTCCTATAAATATATTCAACCTGTATCTAGTTTTTAAAGACAGAGCTGCCTGTGACACAAACATGCATAGCAATATATAAAACCTAATATTTGTCTAAGATTAGGCCCAGCTCAAGTTCTTCTCAATGCCTTTAGTTGTCTGCAACTCACAGTGGCTTTTCTTTAGAGAACAGGAATGATTCCATGTTATTTCTTTTGACAGAGACTTGTAACTCAGGGAGGCACTCATTCTTTAGAGGATTACTTTGAAACTGTTCAATAAAAGGAAACAGAAACTGTACTTCGATTCAATTTTTTAATTCTTCCGTGGGTGTTCCCAGTAATGAAGGATCTTGGTGTCTGGGACCTGCATGGTGACCATCCATAAAGCCCAAAAGATGTTACCACAAAATTAATGGTTATTTTAGGTTTCTAGCTGGAGTATTTCTTAATCCCTGAATAGAAATAAGTCAAGTTTTGGAAAAATTGTTCCATAAGGGTATTTGACAACCAG